TAATATACACACTGATTTCAGACAACTTTCCTTCTTCCTCCTGCTCTCCAGTTTAGCTGTACTCTACAAAGTTATTCTACAAACCGATGACTTCCTAGATTTCCTTTAGACCTTATAAACATTTTGTATTGCAAAAATAATGTATCCTTTAATCTCAAAGGGCTTAACTACAGCACACCAATAAGGATTAATACTGCTTTGATGTTTCTCAATAACTGCTAGAGGCTTACCTTCATGCCAAAGAAAAAGAATTATATGAAATACACATTAAAATAGTTACATTTTCTGCTTTCAGTGTTTAGACCACTGCTGAAGTGGAAGTGACTTTGTAAATGAAATAAAATTTCCCTCTTACTATTTAAAATTGTTGTAAATGCTTTGTCTTAGAAGTTTAGAGTGTTTTTTTAGTAAGTATTTCAAGAAGTATTTTCATACTAGGCAACCAACTATGCTGAACGGACATCTTCCTGATGCAAAATGTTTTTGCAGGGATCCACTTTAAATAACTAAATATCCATTTGACTTACCTAATGTTTGTAATGTTATATCTTAAGAATACAGGCCTTCTGAAGATAAGCCTAGCCTGTATCTGATTGAAGGCTGTTTCATATGATGTTCTGAACTTGGATATAAATTCAGAGAGAGAGATCCAAGTGGTTTTACTTAAGTCAATCTCAGATGTTTTATTAATCATTTCTTTATTTGGAGTTTTGAAGCTGGGGCAAAGCAGTTGCATATTTTTTCCAGGACATGATTTACTTTTATCTAAAAATGAAGATAAGAATCTGATCATTAGTCAGCCTTAGCAGTCCTAAGTTAATTTGTACAGTGAGTATATAATTAAGAATTTCACAACTCTGCATTCTGTTCTGCAGCAAAAACAGTGAGCTTGCTTGTTTCTTGAGCATGTTTACTGTAATAGAAATAAAATAGGGAATTATTAGCTTTCTTATTTCATCTTACAACTGCAGAAGATATTAGTACCACTTACATATGGAAAATAATTTGTAAAGCAAACTTGAAAAATACGTTGTCTGCATACTCAACATGTCTCAATTAAATGCATTGGCTATGCCAGATCATTTGCTAACTGACAGTTAGACAAAAAAATAGTCCCAAAAGGAATCTTAGTTTCCATGGAGCTACTCTGTTCTTTGTGGATGTGTTGTAGGTTAGAACTGTACTGTAGATCATAAATGCAGCACTGAAATAAATGGAGGCAGGCTATGTGCAAAGATTTTAGGGAATTAAAAAATAAATAATGAAGAATAGTTAAATGCTTCTATAATATTTAAGGTACTCCCCAATAGCGTTGTCAGGTAGATAAGCCAGCATCCATACACCCTAATGTATTTGGAATAATTGGGTCTCCCTTGTAAATCCAATTATAAACAATATTATCACGGGCTTATTAAGAGTGTAATTACTGGTTTTGTAATTACTGGTTTTGGAAACATCTGTGACCAAACAGTGCCATTCTGAAACTGCTGTTTAGAGCCACAAGCTAATTTTAAAGTATCATGTAAATAATTACTTCTACTTTAGAGATTTATTAAGGCAGAAATTTTGTCAATTATTAGAAATGGACAATTCAGTATCAAGTTGTAAGTTACAATTTCTTTTACATAAGCCTTATTATTTAAGTGCAAATCTTACTCAATGAACAGAATTCCATAGCAAAGCTAATGAAGACTTAAGAGTAGTAAGCTGAGGTTTCAATTTTGTGTAAAAATAAACACATAGATTTGCAATCAACTGTGACTACCTAAAGTTGCAGTGATCAGTCAGGATATGAATACAGTCTGTCTGAAAGGCTAGGCTTGATGCTTTGTTGCTCTAGAATCGCACAGCTGTCTTCTTCTATAGCTGCCCAGCATTAGATTTCATATCCTATTTTTCCAGATTTCAGGTGCTTCTAACACACCTTTATATTCTAGGAAGAAAAGTTGTGCTTTGTGGTTTATACGTGATCTATAGATTGCCTTATAGATTGATACAGATAGCTCTTTGATAGGACAAACAGGCAAAAGTGACTGTAACAATGCCAGTTGAATGAAGCAAGCTTTTTCATACATTAGTGAAGATGATAGGTTCATGCTGCATCTCTAAGTGAGGTGCAATTTTAAAACCCTACACTGCATTTCTGCCTTAATACATAGGATAAACTCTGATAAAATCTTAGTCATAGCAATTAGGCCTTGAGGTGGTAACAATAATACTCATTTCTACTCTCTTTATGAGAACTGTAGCTTTTCCAGTTATAGTTAACTAGAGTTTGCATAAAATACAAAAGCCATACCCATTTTTTCACCTTTAATAACATTTTCTTTGTGTTGACCCCTACATTCTTTTTTTTGCTCATGTTTCAAATACATAAACTCTCCTGCTCTTGATTCTTTCTCCTGTTCCATGTGATTTCTAGTGCAACCGTATGTGCCAGTCTACCATAAAGTACAGATGTTTTTCAGTTAAGCTGTAGTGGAGTTGTACATCTTAATGAATTCTGGATAGCAACTGACAACTGCAAGCTTTGAGTTGTTTTGGGAGCTGGTTCACCATCTTTCAGCACAATTTTGTTTGTTAAATTTAAAGAGAAGAGGAAGTGGGAGTAAAGACAGGTTTGCATCAAGAATGTAGTGCTTCTATTCAGCCCTGAAATAACTCTGTAAAGAAAGCAAGCTTAGGGAGTAATAATTGGAACAAGTAATTGAATACGTAAATAAAGAGCAAGAGAATTTTCAAGTGATTCAGTACCTTCCTCTATTCTGAAGTTTGCCCACCCACTCCTACATACCACCTCCTGTGGTCCAGGACATTTTAATGCAATGTGGGAGGTTAGCATACAAATTCCTACTGATTACATTTGTGCATTGCTTCCTACGCACCTTTTGAAATAGGGTCCCTTATTTAGAAAAGTTAATGAGTATTATAGATATGTCCCAAACTACAAATGCAGTGGGTTGACAGTGGTGTGTTACATCCATTTGTAATTACTTGGCATTCCTTTTTTTTTTTTTTAAACTTTGTTACTGAGACATGTTGGTGCACTAATTACAAGCAGTCATCATTTGAGGAAAGGTGATGTGCTGAGGACTGGGAAGACAGATGCTGCATCTTGAAACAAGTACCTTGCAAAGGAGCCTGTCCAGTCAAGTTAAACATGTTTGGGTGTTGAACTACTACCTATATGGATCATAGATTGAGCTTAGCAGAAAACAGATTTATCTGCAACAACTTCTTAACAGTAGTAAAGATGACATAAGTCAACCCCAAGGAAGTAATTAACAGTATATCAGTACAATTTAATGATGAGTCTTAAGAGCATATGTGCTTTGGGCTGATTCAGTTCTTCTTCTGTCTAATTCTAATCCCTGTTTCCTGAAAGTACCCAGAGGTTCTGATCTATTCTGGCAGAATGTATTCCTGATATTCAGGAAGCTCAAGGCAGCTAGAGTTTTCAGGTCTATTTGTGTACCAGGTTCCTGGTTTACAAACGGGCTCACTGCTGTTAAACAGGTAGAATGTAAGGACAGGTTTAAACCCACAGTCTCTCATTATTTATCATAACTTAATTCCAGCAGATGAAATACAATCCTTCCTGTTTTCACCCTGACACTTTTCTGCAAAAAAGTAGTTTTTATATGTCACATTTTTTTTATATTTTTATATGTTACATGTTAATGCATTACTAAGAATCAGCCTGAGCCAGGCCCTGCCTTCTACTGATTAGTGAAACTAGACTAGTCAGTTTAATTTCTTAATTTACTAACTGGAGTACAGGAAATAGAAGCAAAGCACAAATGATAACAAATTGTTTGCTCCTCTACTGATCTGAAACATTTGAAAAAAAAGTTAACACATTTAGCATTTACAAAAATCTTTCCAGAGGGAATAATTCTTATCCTGTCTTATCGTAATCCAGTGATGTATCCAGCTTCTTATACACCTGATGCTAAATATTTATTCCAAAAAACACCCCTAGAGAAATTTGTTTTCATTGTAAAGAAATATGGTTATGTTAAACCTTAAGAAGCATTACAAAAGCTGTCTAGTTGTAAAACTAAATACCTCTGTAGTGTACTTACTGGTAGGGAGGGATACAAGTTTTACCTCATTTCTTTCTTTAAAAAAAAAAACAAAAAAAAACAACCACCACAAAACCACAACAGTCTCTAACTTCTGCCTTGGATCCAAGTGATTCCTCACTTAATCTGTGTAGAATATAATCCCAAAAGATAAATTTTCCTCCTCAGACAAGTAACACTTTAAGAAACATATATAATAGAGAGAATTATATATGTATAAACTGCAAGCTCTGAAGATAGCCGAAGTTCCAGAATTAAGTTTTAGATTCATTTTGATTTATATTGAAGTATTTGATAACACAAAGATTCTCAGGTAGCTGCAGTCTTTATTTTAGTCAATCCAACATCAGTATTTGCTGGCCAGGGCTTTTTCATTGGGAGCTCAGAGAGCTTTAAATTAGCACTTGCTAAGTAAATTTTGGTGAAGTCCAGTCAAATTGTAGTAACCCGCATTCCAACTAGCTACTAGCTTTTCCCTCATCTCTGGGAGAGTCAGAATTTTCTTTCTGCTTTGATGACATACATTTTAAATGCAAATACATCATACCTGGATAGACATTGTTCAACACTCCAGCCTCCCATCTCCTCCTCTTGCTTTTCTGACACTAAAATAACATTTTTTCTCTTCTGATTTTATAGCACCCTTGAGCTCTGAGCTGAATTCTATCTTTCATATGCTTCACTTCTACAACTCTATCTTCTCCTGCTAAGAAAGCATAAGTTTTTTGATCCTTGTTTGTCTTTAATGAAGCATTTGGTCTCTATCCAAAAAGAAACTGTGTATAGTATTTGTTATCTATTTGCTTCTGTCTATGTGAAGGATTTTCAGGTAGTATTTGTCTTTGGAAGGTTTATTTGAGCCTAAGATGTTAAAATTTTGCTAACCATTTAAGCTGTGGAGGAAAAAAAGCCAGGGCCCATTGACAAGAACCAAGTCAGAAAGACTAGAATCAAAGCCAGGGAGGAGGGCTCTTGAATGATAGGATTAGGAGCCAAAATTAGACTGAGGGACTTTTAAATGAATAGAGGTGCTTTTAGCTTTGTGTTTTATATTCTAGTTATACTTTTCTTTATTGCATCACAGCCTGTCATAGAAGTACAAAAGGACATACTGGAAACAAAATATATGAACGTGTTCTCTACAAAGAAAGCTAGATAGAGCTGGGAATTAACATGGAGAGTAGAAGGCTCCAGGGGGACCTCAAAACTATTGAAAAGCTGTAGTAAGTCTCCTTTAAGAAAGATGGAGAAAGACTTTTCACTAGAGCGTGTATTGATAGTACAAGGGGTAAAAGGTTTTAAACTAAAAGAAGGTAGATGTAGATGACACGTAAGGAAGTTCTTTATGTGGAGGTTGGTGAGGTACTGAACAGTTGACTGGAAGAAGCTGTGGATGCGCCCTCTCTGAAAGTGCTCATTAGCAGGGTGAATGAGGCACTCTGGATGGGTCTTTGGGAAGCCTCGTCAAATGGAAGGTGCCCCTATCCATGGCAGGGGAGTTGGAACTAGATGATATTTAAGGCCCCTTCCAACCCAAACAATCCTACATTTCTACGAAAATTTGAAATGACGTATACAACAATACCTATAAATAGATGAAAAATCAATGATGTGTTACTTTGCATGGGATTAGTTACTTTAGCAAAACAAAATTGCAACAAGGAACATTATACAGAAAATACATTCATTCACACATTTTCTCAAATATTCTTTTCTCAGTTTACCCTTACTCTCTAGCAGATAGTTTGTGCTGTAGGCCAAAACTGGTTCAGTGAGAAGATGCTAACTTTGGAGTTAAAAGAACACAATTAGATTCTGGCTAGAAGAATTTGAGCAAGTTATCTGTGTCTTTGTGTCAGATAGGAACAGCAGTGCTTCCTTACACTTTCCAGCAACACGTAGAGATGGTGCAAAACATAAGCACGTACAGCTGAAGTGGGGATCTCACCTAGAGAGATTGACATTATTTGCTTTATTATTTTGCCCTCACTCAAACCTCTTGAATGCTTCACATATACAATTTCTCCTTCCAAAGATACTTACAAAGACCTGAATTGTGTAAAACAGGAGTAACCAGTCCATGTCTTGTGACCTATTGGTACATATTTTTGTTTTGTGCATTTTGAACCATGTAACTGTCATGTGGATAGGAAGAGGCCCCTTACTAGCCCTGTCTCCCAGATCTATTTTCAGATTCTGCTGTCATCTTTACTCTGCTGCGGTCATTATTTCAATGAAAAAGACATCTACTAGTTTGCATTTATATTGGAACAAAGGAGATACTAACAACAATAAGCAGCCTCCAAATAACAATACCCACTCAGCTTGGCAAGAATTACATTTCAGCTATGAAGTTCCTACTTAGACTTTGTTGGCATCCTGTCAGACTCTCACTAGTTTTATTTGCACACTTGAGATACCTCCCACTATTTCTTCAAGTGGGGCATTAAGAAATATATCAGACACCTCAAGTCTGTTCCAAGCGTGGCTGCCAGTCTCGCTGGTTCTGTAGTTTGATGGCTTCACAACAACTAAGCAGCCTTCCTTCCTCTTCCATTACTATCCACACACATTTATACATCTGTCACCTCAAGGTAAACTCCAGGTAGTAGCTAAAAAAAAAGATCACTTGAACTACAAGCATTACATGCACTACTACAGCATTGCTTTTTTGGAGAGGAGCATTTCAGTGACTTAAACTGTACGCAGAATACGATTCAAGAAAACAGCTAGTAAAAAAGCATCAAAATACTAGAAAGTTGAAACACTTTGTTGCTAGATTTTTAAAATCAACAAAACAAAAGCAGATGGGAATTCAGTCTCTAACATTAACGTAAATAGAAGATAGTACTTACCAGCAGATATGCCAGTTGGTTGAAACACAAAGAGCCTTGGAAAAACATCCATTGAGATGGGATGAGCACCTTTGACTCTGTCCATCTGGACAGGACAGAACCATCAAAGCTTAAGAACAGTATCTGCCAAAGACAAGATTTTTTTACAACCAAATTATGAAATCTGCATTCAAAGGCTGGAAAACCAAGGATTAAGAAGTTTGTGAAGTCCTACCATTCCGTAGGCCAAGAAAGAGGGAAAAAAAGCCTTCTTGTTTTCTGCAGAAAGAAGCTTCAGTAAGGTACAGAAGACACTGTCACCTCAACAAATTAATACCCTTTCCAAAGCATCACGTTGTAATGCTGTAATGTAATGGAAAGTACAGCAATAAAGGCAGCATGGCAAAGCCTTTGCCTGCAGCAAATGAGGATAAGCCCAAACATAGCAGCCATAATCACAAAAACAAAAGAAAAAAGCTGCTTACCTTAGAAGGGCCTCAAGTATGTAGGGATCTCCAGCAAGATACTCTCACCTCCACTGCCAACCCTTAAATGAGGTCTGGGAGGGGGTGGATCCTGGCTCCACCTCTCCAATCTCTCAGGTACATTGCTTGCACCTGAGCTGCCTTGGGTTGGCCCTGCCTTCCCATCAGGTGCTCAATCACTGTTTCAGGCCATTAGCATTTCCACTACACATGCAGACACAGATTTGGATACACATATACACAGATGCTGTAAAAAAAGAAAACAAACAAACAAAAAAACCCCTCCTCAGTGTAGATGCATCACGCGCTTTAAAACAAGAACTGTTGCTGCTTACCTAGGGTGACAGCTATTTGTTGAAATATGCATAATAAATAGCATTGGCTCTCCTGCCATATCTTGATGCTGTTCATGTAAAGAAAAACACTGTCAATTCAACTTCTACAATTTTTTGTAGAAAAACTGCCTTCTCATTTGGGCTAAGTTTAAGTAATGAGATTTCTTCTATTTTCTATATAGGTGTAAAGACTGCTATCACAGCTAAGATAGAATAACAGTCTTCTTGGCTCAGCTTGTTTAGACTGCTGAGACCTATACTACAATCATTGTTTGACCACCTCAGATACAGCAGTTTTAAAAATAACAATAGTGACGAAAATAGCTAACCTGTAGGCCTTTCATGCAGCTGAATTTGACTTCTGGCTTGATGATTACAGATACTTTACTCACATAAAGTGACATTTTTAGTTATATATGTCAATTACAGTGTGGTCAATAATTCTGTCCACACAGAAATGCTGTAAGGTATGAGTCAGTGACTACAAATTAAGTGAAAAATTTCAGCACAACCAAGCTTCGCCACTGATTGCCAGGATGCTCCAGTAAACATTTGTGGAGATACTGCTCCCTCTAGAGGCTATACTTAAGCCACAAAACCAGAGCAAAAATTTACTAAAGACAGCATTCTGTTCGTCTTGACAGAAGCGTACTTGAAATCTTGTTATTCACTCCCAGAAGAGAAATTAACACTGATTTTTATGGCATAAGAGTCCTTGCACACAATTTTAATACAAGCATCAGATGCTGCAATTCTAGATACTGCTGCTGATGTCTGAATTCTAATCCCAGTTATTTCCACACAGAATTGAAGTATGTTCTCTAAAAATTTCCACAGGAATCTGATGAAGCATACAGCCTCACAATCATGCTGTCACTGAGTGATAATTCCTTCCTCCCAAACTAAAATCCATTCTAAGCCGTTACAGTAAAACAAAAGCCTTAAATGAACAAACACAAACTCCTCAAAAGCCATTACCCCCTAGGAATGCATTTGCAATAAAAGAAAATGATAGTCTTTGCAAGCAAGCTTCATAACTTCATACAATTGGAAGAGTTGAGGAATTTGTGATTTTTGAACATTCAAGTATACTAATGTGTTCTGAAGAACAGTGCAAACACTGAGTTAGTGTAGCCTTGATGAACAGATGGCAGGAAAAGTAAAACTGATGGTCAAAATCTGCTCAAAGCATAACACAAGTACCTGTAATATGCCATGTATTCTTGGGTTAAAAACTAAATTTAAAAATTTACTCCAGTACTCAGATTGTTCTAAAAATAAAGATTACATTCTGAGCACATAGCTGAGAGCAGCACTCATCTTCATCAAACACCTTTAAGTGCTCACAAAGTGCAAACAGTACTTTAAGTGGTAAGATGGGCTTGAACTGGTAACACTAACCACAATCTGCAGAAGTTCTTGAAGTGCTGGTGTGATAGCACTGTTTGTTTCTTGCTTCCACATCTGCTGGCCCCGGGAGAAGAAATTCAACTGTTTGAAAATTAACCCCAAAGCCTAAAATGAATGGGCCTTGTCAGATTATTTCACACAGAATTAGTGGTCACCAATTCCATGAACAGGAAGGGATGGCAGTATTGGGAGATTGTTTAGGTACAAAAGCAAAGCATCCTTAACACTAGCAAGGAATTAAGGCAATCTGAACAACAGTATTTTGAATAAAATATTGTATATGAATCTTTGATCTCCTCAGCTCATATTGCAGTTTACTTTTGCCTGAAGAACATTGAATCAGGAATTAAATATTCCAACTTCAAAATGATTATCAAAATGATTACCTGTACAAGCATAGAGCATTCTGAGAATACTTTCTGCATACAAAACAATCAACAAAGAAAGTAAAAAATGAATTGAGTAATCTCGCCTCATAGCTTCATGAACAGGAGAGTTTCTAGTGTAGTGCAGGGAAAGGGAATTACATCTAAAGACAGTAGATTCATTTGAGTAATGAACCAAGAATCAAGTGTGAGAAAAAAAAAGAGACCTCAGTTTTCTTACCCAGGGATTCCTAAGCTGCCATTGCATATGAGGGGCAAGACACCATTTACAACATAGCAAGTTCTGTTAGATCAACTTTATTATGTTATCAAAGTATGACAGTAAAATATTCAAAATCTATTGACCGCATCCATACACAAAAAGGGCATATAAAATGCTAAGTCTCAGAATATATGTTTCATACAAAATACTGTTAAATGTAGAGCAGCAAAGTCTTTGCCAAACATTCCCTGAATTTAAGAGGGCCTTGAACACACTGTGTTCCAAGAACTACCTTAATGCCGAACATTCCTTCCTTTGGTCTGCAAGTCCTTTGCAATTATTGCTAGTTATTGAAGCATTCTGTTTTTAAACAGAATCACATAGTGACTCTGAGCCTCTTCAGAAGTATTAGGATAAAAGCTCCTTCAGCGTTTTCTGTACATTTACTTGAAGTGAAACATTTGGTCCTCAAGACTAATTTTGGTTTCTAAAAACATTCTGGAAGAATAAAACCAAGAGAAAGTTATGGAAAGAGATATGATCCACATGTGTTAGGTACAAAAAGTACAAAAACATGTCAGTAAGTTCTAAGATGTCAACTGTGCATCATGGCAAAGCAGCCACGTTACTCCTTGTGAGTAATTGGTGCATGTCCCTCTTTCCTTAAAGATATAATGCATCAGAACACTAATCCCCCACAAGAGTCTATAATGCTTAAGCACATATGGCTCTGGCAGGTCTGTAAAGTAATACTAAATACTCTTGCCTTTTAGAGGAATGCCTCAGTTACCTGGTAAGCACTTCTCAAAGGAGTAGAGTGGTTCAGTTTCAGCAACCTGAATAATGTAACTTACTTGCTGCATTCCCTTTACAAGGAGAGCTACATCCTAATATGCAAGAAATTGAAAATGAAGAGGCTGAAGATGGTCTAGTAGAAAAAATCTCAAGTTGTAGATGTAAAACAGAACTATAGTCTGTGGAATTATCAGGTCAGACTCTCACCAGAAACACTGGTTTGCACTAACACATATGCACATGCTCAGACAACATAGTTTTATAGTAACAAACAATAAAAGACAAAACCAAGACTTAAAAAAAAACTTCTTGTAACAGGATGACAAGTTTAAATAAACATACTATCAGACTTATCTCCTCATGGACAGGTATAAAGGATAAATTTAGATTAATTGTTCACAAGCCTTCAGGTAAAAAGATACAGTTACCTGATCAGCACAAGATTCCCAAAATTAGAAAAGAATGTTTCTTTCTGTGCTCCCCAAAAATATTAAAGTTTTAAAAAGACTCTTTAGGAATGACCCGTTTTGGATCTTCAAGCTAAACTCATTGTCTGAGACTGAGAATGCAACTGACTAATATAGTAAGAATCTAAATGAAGCTTAGGTACATTTCTCCTGATCTGGTTAATAAGCAAACAGTTATGCTCCTCTCATCTTTCAGCCCTTTATGCCCATGTTGGTGGCCCCCAGCTAAGCTTTCAGCTCTACTCATTTGAGTGCTTATTGACAGGCATTCTCTTTCAGCAAGAAAGATTACTGAAAGACTGTTGTCAGTAATTTCTTTCTGTCAAGCCAGTAGTGTAGCAATTTATTCAAAAACAGAGTCAGACCACAGGAAGAGCTTTGTCTGTGAGCAGTCTTGGAACACACAGCTAACAGCCCTGCACATCATGGAACACTTGACTAAAGGACTTGTGTGCTTTCCCTGCAACCCTCTTCATTTCAGCAGTAACCAGTTACAAGTGGCTTGGGACAGCACAATTATTCTCTAAGAAAGTGTAGACAATATAGGTGCTGAACTGGGCAACTGATGACATGACAAACAATTCCTTTTTAAACATCAGGAAAATGCATCTTCATCCTCAGTTACAAGATGCAGGGAGAAAGCAAAGCTAAATAAGCAATTACAAACCTAGGAAGATACTTAGCTTATCTAGGACTCCAGCTTGATTTTTTTTTTTTTAGCTTTATGAATGATTTCTGAATTACAATTTAAAGCTTTAAGGCTAACTCCTAGGCCAAAGTATTTGCATTTTACAATAGGAGTTCAAACCTGTCATTTAAAAGTACCTTAGTCTTAATGTGTGATGGCAGCAAGGATTTTACCAAAATAGTTTTACCTTTCCAAGAACTTTGGTTCCTTAAGTAATGAATTCTCAATATTTCTGATCAGTTTCTGAAATAAAGCCATTTTTTCCTGGAGGACCTAGCATTTTGAAAGTATTGGAAGTTCTTTTCTGAAGAAGTGCAATCTAACTATGTGACTAGTTTTGAAGCAAGCAAAAGAGAATCTTTCAGTGAAATTATTTCTCCCACAGTTGTACATGCTATGGCCCTTAGGCTATTACTTCTGTAGAGTCCAAAGCTGGAAAATATCTTTCTAAACATTAAAAACAGTACTGTAGGAATTTAACAGTTACATGTTTGATTATCTACACATTTAAGGAACAGTAAATCTCAACTTCCTGAAAATGCAATCACTACTTGGCCAGTAATTGAATTAGAGGTTAATTTGACTGAGAATGAGGTTTATATTTCATACTGAATTACACTGGTTTCCACTCCCTGCCCCAGTTCAGGAAGGTCACTTCATTTTTCATGAATACTCACCATCCATTTCTACTACAGATGATCATTTTCCACCCAGAATTGCAATCCTGCACTGTATGCACTGTTTGCCAGTATTCAATTCTATTAGCTTTAATTTATGTGCTGCTCCACACAGCAAAGCATTAACCACAGTTCAGCTGCTTCCCCTCATGGAAAATAAAACAGTGTGAAAATCCCTTAGGCTCCAGATTTTAAGTCATCAGGCTTTCAAGGTCAACAAGCAAGCCTTTTTTGCTTTTTTTAAGCTATAAGGTACCTAAAATAAGCTTAAAATAATTCAGACATCATTGTTCCCCCCCCTAAAAACCATAACAAAAGCAACAAAAGCAAGGGTGGATATGACAAAAAGATAGTACAGTACCAAACAGACCTCACACCCATATTACCTAGTAGATACATACATTTACAAACTAAGTTAATGGGCTGTGGGATCAGAATACACAAGACCCTTTGGGAAGTATTTGTATGGACTTCCATAAAACAAGGGAAAGATATTAACAATTTGGGGAGTGAAATTGTAATGCTTCCCAGCCCTCCCACTCCAAACCCTTCAAAGATCACAAAGAAAATTATAAAGTATGGGCACGGGGCTGCACAATCTCCAAATGAAAGTCTGTATGAATACTGGACAACAGTGGAGGCAACAAAACGCATATTTGACCAAGTTTTCAGAATATGAAAATACTACAAAACTTCATGAACACAAATCAGAGACAAACAACTGTTTAGGACACGAACCAAATCCTTGAACATAGTTTAAAAAAAAACAAAATAAATAATTCAAATATCTAAGTATCAACAGATCAAAAGGCATTCTCCCATACTTAAGGGAAGGCATCACAGGTGAGGAAAACTGTCAACACAACATATCACAAATTAAAAAGCAGCTTTTTCACATATGAAATAGTAGTATCATTGGATAGCATTTGAATGTGTTCATTTCCTGAAAGCTCAAATACCACTACTTCCTGTTTCTGCATGTCCACCCATTTTTGACATTGCAAGGCACTCTGTAAGTTCACTGTACCATCCCCATCACTGTAAATAATCTTGGGCTCTTTGTCAGGAAAGCTTTCATAATGGAAGGAGTCAGGTGTTTCCACACCAGTACCATAAAGACAGTGTATGCGTACACCAGGTGGTATCATCTGGTAGACCAAAGGTTCAGTGTCTTGTCTCATGAGCCAGCCATCTTCAAAGTCAATGTCCCTGTAGAATTTTCTGTAGTCTCGTAGGGTGTAGTTAGCTGTAGGTGTGCTTACAAAGACCTTATCTGGAGGCCACGTGTAGTTGTAGGGGAGCATCCAACTTGTGGAAACAGCTGATCTCTGCTGGTCTCGTATCTTGAGTGAACTGATGACTGGTATTCTATTGTTGTCACCTTAAAAAAGGAAGAATTATTATACACAAAACAATGCATGGATCTTGTGACCACAAGCAATTAGTACCACTCAGTGACAACATGAGTAATTATTCTTTTTGCTTACAGTGAAAGTTTGAGAAGTTCCTCATTTATGACCACCTTAGTGATCAATAGCTGCAGAGTAATTTCTGATAACTTATAAATTTACAGAAAACTTAGTGGATGAATGCCTGACAGACAAACTAGGAGTATTGCTTCCATTCTAATAGACCCATTTAGAAAGGACAAAATACTTCCTGCATTAGTCAAGTAAGGAATCAGCATTTCTTACAAATTCCAGCATTTGCAAGTTTTATTTTAAATGTTATTGTTTTATAACGATTCTGTACCTAGACCATAGTTTTGCTGAAAGAAAAGAAATGTTACTATTCTTAGACATGTACTAACTCCTGAAGAGGTCTTGCAGGCTGAACATTTTTAGGTTTGCACATTCAAAGTAGTATTTCATTCAGAATAGCTATTTACCATACAGTAATTTTTTTTCCTACCACTTGGTGCAGAGCATTTTAACACGTACTCCCTCTGTAAAGAGATCTACCAGGACACACCTACAGTTGAAGGAAAACAGGAGATTCTTAAGTATTTAAAGCAAGAATTACTGTCTCTGCTTTCTACTATTGAGTAAGAATTGTGTTCTACAACTAACTCAGTCTCTTTGCCTACATGGAGTCAATGAGTTGATACTTCTTAGCATCTGGGAGAGACCATGGGATACCACTGATAGCAGCATCTTCCATTCCAGTCAGCATTTCAAGACTGCTGAAACACTTGTATTTCTCAGAATATAGGTTTTCTATAATATTGTACCACTGTTTTCTAGCAACTCTGGTTATCTGAACTTTATCTTCACTTGGAAAACAACAGTTCTTCAAAGCCCAGTTAGTAACTACTATATTTGAGAAAAGTTTTCACCTGGTCAAGCTTTAAGACTTTTAATTAAGACTCTCATTTAAAAAATCTAACTCTAGAGAGCTAAACTTTATGAAAAATATGTGTTTATGTTACCATATACCACAAACAAATTTGAACAATTTTAGACAGTTTAGACTTAATACATAACTGTTTGACCAAAAAATTAAGAACAAGATATTCTGTAGATATGAAGACTGTGCATTTTCCTTTCCTTGGCAGTTAGAGAATAAGTTATAAAATATGAAGGAACTTGGATATAAATTAACTATTCCTCTTGTCTTTCTCCATAAAAGACAAAGCCATTTAATACATAGCATATATAGTGATTATGGAATTACTTAGGACTGACAGTTGTTCATGATGACTGGCTTATCAGATTTATTCTCCATAATCACAATTGCTGGTACTCTTCAATTCATTTGCCAGCTGAAATTGAATCAGATTTCATTATTAGGTCCAGGGGGTTGCAAAAGGTAGTAATTCAAATCAACTATACTACAAAAACTCAAAAAGTCTTAAAACCAAAACCACCATTGCTGAAATAGCACCAAAGTATGTATTTTTCAACTCCATAAGGTGGCAGTATTGGTTCATCAAGACCTGAAGTACAGTTTAGTCTTCACTACCATTTTTAGAAGGACTACGTGGAGACTTTAGCCTGTCAAATGGCTAAAGATGAAATTCAAGAGCACAGCAAAAAGGAAAAACTTCTTAAGTTTGTTTCACATTCCTGTGCAGTATAAATATTTAACTGTGCACACTCAAAGTTAGCAAACACTATTTGCATGTTTTCATCAAAAAAAACATGTTCTAAAAAAAAAAAGTAGGAAATCTGCAGCAAGTTTGATTCCTGTAGAACAAGTACAAAACCTGACTCTTTTCCAGCCTTTTCTTTCTGAACAGCTCATCAGTGCTTAAGTCCTATACTTTTCTCCTGAAGTGCAGAAGAACTGAGGTCAATATCACACTTCAGTCAGCAGGCACTGACATTGTAGTGTATGAAATAGGTCTAAAGAAAAAACACTGTTAGCATCCCAAGCTGGCAACCAGAGAAAAGAATCATTGAACTCTGCGTATGTGTTTTCCAGGGAGTGGAAAGAATGACCTTCCTATTAGCAATAGAATTGTTATAAGCTCTGATCCTGCGGAGCACTTGAGTATGTAGCAGTAAACAAAACAAGATCCAGAGAATTCTACCTCCTTGCCACTTTAACAAAAACTGCAGCTTTAACAAGCTCCTGCTCATTTATATACTATAAGCAGGAATAGGAGAATAGGAGCAGGGAGAACATACTGAAAACTTGCCTTGTCTTTCTAGCAGTGCAGTAGTTTTTGCTCAAGTAACAACTCCTCTATGCACTAGCATCCTTATAATTTCACAAGCTATAACTAGACTACCGTCATCCAAACATTAACACCTATGGTGATTTTTTTTACCTATGGATATTTAAGAGACATAACTAGCCTAAAAATATTCTTCCCACTTCAGTTTCCTATATCATTCTTAACTTTCTGCTCCAGAATCTGGAGTAATACCACAGACATGCAGATTAAGAGATTACATTTTAGCCAAAAATCTAACTATTCGTTACATATTTGCATAGCTTGCCACCTTGGATGAAACTCATAATGGATAAAATATGAGGCACAAAAATTAAATCCAAAAGAAATCAAACTGGAATTTTGTGTAGTCTTTTGGAGTTTTATGAAGGTGATTTTAATATTGCTTACTTCCTGCCATTTCCCACAGGCTTCATCTGACAAGTCTGTATGCTACAGAAAAGGTAAACTAATTTTCACAGTGCCACTGCAATTGAATTAATGTGCAAGTCTGTACAAACACCCAGTTTAAGTTTTCGGGTTTTGCATTAACTGAGTTGTGCACTCCTATTCAGAATCAAATTCCTTTGCTAAGCAAAGCATTCTTTTGATCTGTCCATGCATGGCTGGCAACTGCCACGCGCTCTGCATTTTGATGAAGTCCAGTTCCTGATTTCAGCTTTATTTGGGAAGGAAGACTGATAACCAAAGCTAATAAATCAAAAGCAAATCAAATCAGACAACACGATTTAAGTGTCAAAGCACAAAACATACTGTTTTGCCATGAAGTAATTACGGTATTACACGATTTACGTTATGTGGTAAGCAAGTTTCTGTTATTAGAGCAGAACATACTTTTCCCTATTAAAGTCAAAGGCATATCCAGCATTCTAAATATGAGATCTCAGATACATTTCCTTCTTCTGCAAACCTTGAACTTCAGCAAGCATCTGTGCTGTGGGCAGTATACCACTTCATCATTGAATCTACAAGTTTCCCTTTATGTTCAGCAGCTGTGTGATATTTAGTCAAAGGGAACTATTGAATGATCTGCTGTTCGTGTTGGCTCAGCAATACTGAACAGAAAACAATCATGCTGAAGGCAGAAGTGACAGAAATAGAAGGCACCAGGCCAAACAGCAGCTTGTGTCATCTGCTGTAAAGAAGTTAGGAGAGATCAAGAGGAAGCACACAGCTCATCATTATAGGATGTTAAGGCTTTGTCCAATTCCATTCTTGTCCAAGACAGACAGTCAGGTTAAAGGGCTTGAAACCTTAAGGTACGATCACTTAAAGAATACTATTTTTAACTTCATATTATCTTCAACTTTCATCCTCCATTTTTAGTATCATCCATATTTAGTCTCTTGCACTATTAAGAAAATACATTGCAAACCCTCACATTACATACCTGAAGCCAGCACACGGAGAGTTTTGGCCACTCCTCCCCATGGAGCACCTAAGGACACGTAGTCTTTTATGTATTTGTCTTTCCATTCCTGAGTCTGATGATTGAGGAAGTACAGGGTATACATATTACCCATACTGTGGGCAATTAAGACAACAGGACTTCCATACTGCTCATACATCAACTCTATCATCTTGCGAAGAGCCACAAAATAATCTTCATTCTCATCTAAATGGAAAATACACATTACATGGTTATAATCACTAATGGTCGACGTTGTCCTTCAGCACAATTATTTACAAGGTTATATTCTGAAGATTCAAAAAAAAAAAAAACAATGCTTCTTTACATCATCAGTTTATGAAAGGGTGAGTCTTTAAAACCTCATTTGTTTCCTACTTCCCTGAAACAAGTATATTTGAAAAAGATACTCAATTTCTCCCACTTTTAAAAATAAATTTAAGCTCAAATTTTTCTCAGAAATATCCACGCTGATGGAATGCTAATATTCTCCCACAAAAATCCATCCATATTCTCTAGAAGTTGACAAGTCCAGAAAGACTTCTGAGTTGATGGAAATAAAACTTACTAGATCTTATAAAGGGTACATAAACTAGTTACCAGCTTATGTTAGACAATTTCTATAGGCAAGGTTAACTCTAAGTGAGAATTCCAGCAGATTCCTGCTGGCACAATATACTTCATCTCTATTACATATAATTAAATGAGCTTTAAAAGTAAAGAATAAAGAAAAAAAATCAATAAAATGCATTTCTGTAGCCCTGTAATAAGATACCAATTCGATGTAAGAACTGCAATATAACTTTGAAGTAGTCACATCAATAGCAAAAGTCAGCATTATTGATTTTCTTCAAGCAGTGTTCCTGGATGCCAAGACTACATGCTTGATTTTTGTGGGCCAAGGCAAACTTGATACTAGAATATTGTCATTAATAGATATATTATTTCTTCAGTACAAGCTCACAAGCTGTATGAAGAGTCTACAAATCACTTGTGCTCCTGTGGAATAGAATGAGATGAAGAATACAGAGTTCTAATACTTGTATAAAGATAAACTTGTATAAAGATAAGTTTAGAAAAAATGTAGAAAACATTCCTCATTTTTGAGGACAAATTAATTTATTCCTCAGGATGTAATCACAGTAATTGTTAGATTTGGTGTGACATTAGAACCAGAAAAATTATGGTCTTACTGAAGTTCAGTCTGCAGAACTGGTACATGCTGCGGTTAGAGATTGTGCTACTGATGCACAGTGAGGTATGTGGCAGGTGTTCTTAAGGAATTTTATAGTCTTTACTGGTTTGGGTTTTTTAAGCAAATCTTAAGTAGCAAATTCTTTAAGCAAAAAAAAAAATCATACCACAGAGCTTTTATGTGGGTCTAGGGATACCCAGTCCTCAAGAGCAAACTAAGAATTGATGTTTTAATAAAATTGTATAGCTGGAATGGGGGGAAGAGACCCAAAACTCTCTGCTTACTGGAAGTGTCAAGAAAATTTTGTTCAAATAAGACATTATTTACTTGGTGCCTTTCGCCAGTCATAAGGTGCTCCTCTTACATCTTCATCACGTTTGTAGCCCCAGTCTACTAAACTCTGTACCAGCATATAGAAGTAACTGCCTGGAGAAATCAGATAAAAGAAACATAACAGTGAAATATTAGTGCTATGAAAGGAGGCCTGGATGCATTACATCTGATTCCATATATACAGATATTGAAGTCCTAATCTTATGAATCTGACAATCTAGGATTCTGCATATTAAGCAAAATGAGTTATGCTGACTACCTACCAAAGTTATTAAAGCTTCTTAACTGCTGACCTATTAATCCACAACAAAACTTGTCAAACAGCATTACTGAGAATAAAACTTATCCCTTCTATGTCTGACCATTGAACTGTTTAAAATAACTACCATAGAGTCATAGCTTTTATTGATTGCAGACGAATTTCAGTTATGGTACATAATATATTTGTAAAGATTATCCCTGATTTTGCCAACATTCAAATGAATTAAGCAACAAAAGCTCAAAGTATACCAAAGGCAAAATTCTGGAACCCCTCAAAATCCTTTTTCTAGCCATCAGTTCTGATGGACTGAGATGGCAGGCTTCTGTAGCAAAGAAAGGAAAAACTTGCAGACTGACTGCAAGAATCTGTTACAATGTTATATATTACAGGTTTTGAAACATATGGAAGTATTACCACAATTAAAATGCATCTAGTAACACATAAGAAGTGAAGCATCAAAACATCTTGTTGATTATCACAGCCATCTTAACATTTTGAATAATGCCTCATTTGTTAGTCTTGATTACTTATATAGTCCCTGACACAAACAGAAGCAAGTTTGAAATATGACCCTGTTCTTATAAGAATTATCAAGTGCAGGTCACAAAACACAGTAGTGGCCTTTTAAAGGTTGTTTCTAAGGAAAAGATACATGCAGTGCAAGAGGGCCCATTCTATAGTGAAGCTCAGCACATAGCTGGCTATTAAATTGCATCAGCCACAGCTAACAATTCCTGGCAAGGTTACCAGCATTTTCTGGAAGATGACTTCCGCAAAAGCAACACTAAAAAGCCTACAAACAAAATAATGCAGAAATATTTTCAGCACAAATTTAACTATGTAAATATTCTGACATCAACAAGAGATGAGCGGTTGGAACTAGATTTTCCTTAAAATCCTTTCCAAGCCAAGCCATTCTAAGATCCTATTTCCACCCAAATCCTTCAACTCATACTTGACATCAAATAACACTGCTCAGAACTAAGCAGAAACAGTGTTAGTCTTTGGTATTTTGCTTGTCAAACTTAAGTCATAGGACTTTTTACTCCATCCATCTCATTTTCTGGAGCATCTTCAAGATGCCCTTCAAGTTTCATCCAGAGGCCTTCAATCTCACACAAGACTGAGCAGTTTTCCTGTCTCAATTTAGGAGAGACTAAGAGACAAAATGACATATAATAAAAACACTGAAAAGCAAAGTGAGCCACATGCTACTCTTCTACCAAAAAAAAAACTATTGCTACTTACAAACAAAACTATGCAACAAGCTACAGAAAAGTTACTTCAAATTTAAGGACATACCATAAAATCCTACAAGCGACAAAGATTTCAGACACAGCTTCTACATACCAACGCTCCTTTTACTCGGATCAAGGAATTCCAAGGAAAATGTCTGCCCAAAACCTGGGACTCTGATATCCACTCCATCTGGTGGTTCTGTTACTTTGCTTGTTCTATTATATACCAGCCTACAGGAGAAGAGACAAACCATGAAACATCATATTATCATATGATAGCTTTTAGCTGTGTTGGGCCTTACATTCTGAGTGCAGTAACAAAAGCTTTAAGTGCTATTACCAAGAAGTAAAAGAAAACAGAGTAGTCTAATGGCTAAGCAGTCTAAACAACTATTTTAAGGTTTTATGCCTTGCATGCTGAAGACTTATCTTCCTTGTAAAACAGGGCATATAGCATTATGACTGGACTTCAGTTTTAGAACAGTACAAGCTACTTAGTGTAGTTCTATACTATTTCACTGTGCATCAAACCACAGAACGGAGAAAGTTGTTAAGAATGTAAAAATGGAGGCGAGGCAGTAGAAAACACACCTCTAAAAAGTCAGGTAGTAGACAAAGTCCCCTACTTAAATAATTCATTTATGTTTAAATAGACACTTCTGTCTATTTAAACTGTGTCTGCCCTTGAAATTTCTTGACTAGTAACAACTAGTATCTCAGGAAGCAGAGGTGTGGAGTGTGCTGTAGGTACTTTAAAAATCCTCTTGAAGTAGGAAGTTCATGGAGGGTCTGGGGCATTTTGCTTGGTTGTTTTAATGCCTTATCAATGCAACTGCAGTTCCTGAGCACTGGCTTTTATCCCCACATGGAGGTCTTACAACCTGAAATGATACTCAAATTATCACACACACAGACACAGAGTAAAGCAGAGGTTATTACATACTCTTCCTCCCCACAAACTGCAGGCTGTGAGAAATGGAATTTAAAACTTAAGATCTATTTTACAGCAGCCCGCAAATTTGAAGATCTTTAATTACCATTCTTCCCCCATTTTCCTCCTCCCTGCCCTTGGTTATTTTATTTGATCAATCTGTTCAGTCTTTCAACAGAAAGCACTAAGCCACTACTAATTAGCAACATAGTTTTCTATATGCAGAGTCATGTGATGAAAGCTAGTTATGAAAGCTACAAGATGTTACCTTTAACAGAAGGAACATGGATAATCTAAAATATTTTCAGCCAAGAAACTAGATGAATAGAATCCCTCTGGCATTCTATTTATATTAGAAAAATATATTGGGTCCATATGTTCATGGTACTCAGAAAGCTACAGGCAGAGATTTGCTCAAGACATAGCATTACTCAGAAAAGGCTAGGATCAAAAATTACTTTGAAGCCACACAAAGTTGAAATTGGAAAATGAGTAACATGAGATTATTTTTAGAATAAAAATAAAACTACCTTCCTCCCATTCCAGAAAAACAATTGCTTATTGCAAAAATATTATTTGCATACGTGTCAAAACACACAGACTAAGGGGGAAAAGCAGCCTCTAGATCAATTTACGCTATATGGCTTTATAAAAGAAATGCATCCTTTCATGTCATCGTTAATACTGCAGTGCATGCAACCTGGAACCTCCAGCAAGTACTCATTTATCAGTTCTAGCCACAGGCAGAGACATGCTTTGACTCCTGAGTTTCCAGCTTTGTTGAAACACATTCACATTGCTGCATTCTTGAATGTGTTCATGCACTACTCTTGGAAGTATTTCTGTTTTTCACATTCTGCTTTCCTTGAATGCTTAATATGGTTGTCTATAAACCAGAAAAGAGTTGCAGGGGATTTGATCTAACCAGGAGGAGCAAAACAGTGTTTTTGAGGAGGCACTGCTACCCTGTCTTTCCATACTACAGAAGCTTATAGCAATTTAATTTCATCATTGAGAGAGTTTTTTTAATTGATAGTTGCTACACTGTGATTTTCATTATCGCCCCCCCTCAAAAATGAAAGGGATTTAGGACTTCAGTCTCATGTCAGTGCCTTGTGTGCTGAGTTTGTCAAACCCATAACCACATTATTAAAAACTGTGGAAGTCTGTAAAGATAAGTTAAAATTGAACTACCACCAAGCTCAGTAGATTCAAACAAAAGAACAACATGCTGGTGCAGTGTTTTTCAATTGCACAGGCTAAACATTTCTTGTTGTCTTAAATACGTTCAGAATTTTTACAATAAAATAGTCCAGAAGCTTTTAATTAGACAATCTGTATAACAAAATAATTAAGGAAAGACTTCTAAACTGCAATTAAAGGATTCCACACATCTCAGCTGCCTATGGAAATTGCTTTCTAATCACTGCAAGGGAAGTAGAAGTTCACATTCCTCCAGTCTCTCCTGTGAGCTACCCATTGTACCTCCTTCCCACTTACCTCATCAGAACTTAAGTAACTCAAACCAGCAGAAAATGTTCTGCTTTAAATAAGCCAACGGAAGTCTACTAAGTGTCCAAACCAACACATAGTAACGGTAGCAGAGGGAGGTGGAGGAAACGAAGAATCTGATTTTCATCACTGATGGCAAGCTATCACAGTTGCAAAAGCCACATCCTCCAGTTCAGCTTGTTAGTCTACCCAGCAGAACTCCCTAACCATTTCTCACTGAACATGAAATTTTAAGGTGGAAGCTGCGTACCATCTATGTCAGTCTAAGGGAAGGAGAAAACTGCAGAGAGCAACAGATGCAGTCTTACCTGATATTGTCAATCCAACAGTCAATGATGACAGGTAGGAGCAATTCTAAGTTCAGCCACAGTGTAAAATAACTGTCAGTCTTCTTAGAGCAGAGATAGTGCACTACTGATGGCTTATCTAATTTTGCTTCCAACTGATTACCTAAGTCCCCCGGAACTGAAAAATATGAAAAGACACTAAAATGTAAGAGTATAACAAATTGCATCACTGCAGTCCTCATATGCAGCACTGCAGTGCTCAGAGATAGTTTTGTAACTGGATAAAAATATTACCTAAGAAAGTATTGCATTCTTATTTTCCACTGAAGATATTTCAGTTTTTAGAAGCATGACCTGAGGAACCCCTATGTAAAATAACCCTGGATCAATAGTTCCCAGCTTCAAAGAACAGATAGTATAAGATCAGGTCAGGTTAAGGCATAGATACGAAAAACATCTTAGCTCTTACCAGAATTATCTACATTTTAAAACAAAGTATTTCTGAAATATTTTTTCTTCTGGGTACTACTGATTGTTGTTCTGTACTTCAAGAGATGCCTACAAGCTATTAATTTGACACAAGAGTGAAAGCAAAGTAGATACAAAAAGTTACATGAAGTTATCAATTCTTATTACACTTTGATTACACAAAGTTTTGGCTAGCATAGTAATCCAAATACAACATTTATCACTTACATTCAAGTTTAGATGCAACAGTGTATATTGTATATTTTTAATGCATTATTGATGAAATGGAAGAGTACTTGGAAGGAAAGGTCTTATATTTGCACCTTCTCTCAAGTGTACTGTTTTTAATTTAGCATATGATAAATACCAGGGTTCCTTTAAGTTTTATTGTCTCTTACTTTAAACAGAAAACATAGACATGAAGTTCTTATTTCCAAATTCAAACTAAACTTATGAGAAAGTTTTAGGAGCATTTCTTATCTCCAGAGGAGCTTCTTGGTTTTTTTTTTTTATGTTAAATGATTTTCAACCCTCAAGAACCAGGAGGACAAAGATGCTTCAGTAACTGAAAAGTTTCTCTGCGGTAGGAAGGATCAGGAGATGGGCACTTTAGTGTTTCCACCGCCCGCCCCCTCCCCCAGCTCTCTTCCCCCTACCTTTTAAGATGCTCCTCCCTCCCCCCCACCTTTTTTTTTTTTCTTTTTGCATGTGCACAAATGCATGCTGTTGAAGTTTTTAGATACAGGCCCACCCATACAGTTGCTTTTCCCCCTCGCTTTGCTAAGTTGAGTAAAAGCAATTTAAGTTTCCCATACCCCTTAAAGCAAGAGCTTTAAGAAAGATGCTACATTTCAGTGGAACAGCTAATTTAGCTGAAAAGCCAGATATGGTTTCAGAGATTTACTTACTGCAGAACTGAAAAAGAACAGAACTTGGGGCTAAACAGAGAGTAACAATCAGACTCTTCCCCCTTCAGCCACCCAGGCTGCTCCTCATCACAGAAGATATACCTCAGGACTTCTTCACTTCCTACCCCACTTTCTCATTAGGTTTTTAGTGTTTTTATTTCTGTAGACTTAAGTGAAATGTTAAAAGCTCCAGTAGCTGAACACAGTTTATTTTAGGTCATATTTCAAGGACACTGATATACTGGAAAGCATAATAAGGAAGATTATAGCATTGCATCACACTCTAGAAGAAGTTTACTGAAGTTCAGTCTTGTAACCTCAGAAAAAGCTGTTTAGTTATTGCTTATAGAACTATAAGGCAACAGCTTGTTCCACAGTCTTGTGCCTTTTCTGGCTGCTGTATCAGCACTCTCAATTACAGGAAGAACGGAATGTAATTCTATTTATATCAATCATTCATGGCTGACCAGCTTCAGCAGCAGACCTGCTAAGGACAAAACAGGTTGATTTTGTGTTCAGTTCCAGTGCAAAACAAAGTATACAGGTGATTGTTTTACCTTGGAACTCACTTCATTTCATACTCATTTCAGTAAAAATAAAATTCTTCCAGCAAAGACATTTCAAAAGCTTAGATAAGCACCTGCAATATTATTTAGAGTTTTAAGAACATGAAGTTTCCAAACATTTAAATCATAAGCACACCTGCTTGGAGTAGGAAGGCTCCCAACCCTGAAGATTATCATAAATATGCGTCTATAAACAAGAACATTGAAAGCAGGAAACTGCATAGAGTCTCCCTTGGACTTATAGGAGTGATTCTAGATTAACTGCAAGTTTAATTTAGTTAACATTTTCTCCTGGAGCTTCAAGGAAAGAGGCTGTATTCATGCAATCAGTGCAAAAAATGAGAAACATCGCATCTTAGTTTTTAACTCAAGGAATGACAACAGAAGTTGGTTAACAGAAGTGGTACTTCCACATAATGCTAAACAAAAGCTAAGAGACAAGTTCCACCTGCACAAAGATATAATACTTCAGTTCAGGTGTCATGTAAAGGTATGATGTCTGTTTATAAAGCAGATATTATATTAACAATGTCTTTTTCACGTTCATGTTTTCATACTGACAGTGAAGCTACTAATCAGTGTAAACTCACAAGTGGCGACTTATTTTCAAATATATATACTGCAAGCTAAAAAGGATTTGTGATGAAGCTATAGGGAACAAAGTACAAGTTTTGATTTTCCAAATTATGTAAACAAGCATGCAAGATCTTCAGTCCTCACCCCATGCAACTTAAGAGTGTTAATGATTTACATTTCGGCTGGAGAGCTACTTAATCACTTTTTGATAAGTAACAAGTTAGAAAAGATCACACTGAAGATGAATTCTGTAGGACAAGGACTCTTTTGAATTTTCTGTGATAGAATTTGCAAGCAGTAGAAAAGAATATTTTCCTCTGCTTTTAGTCCATACACAGCAAATTCCCACGAGCAAAGCAGTTTTTCCTCCTCATCCTCACATCTACCAATACCTACAGTTTCTAGGTCTTCCTAGAAGAATATTACAGGAGTTTCTTACTTCTTAAAGCCTGCAGACATTTACAAAATAACTACCATGTGAAATCCTGCAAAATACAGCATCACTAGTTAAAATCAAGTGCCCAAGAAAAGATCTCACAGTACTCTTGCTTCCCTAAAATGCAGCTGTGAAATGCATGTGTTAACTAATGAACTGCTACTCTTGGAAACAAAATAGTTTCACATTGAGCATTTCCATCAGATTTGACGATCGTTTTCCCCATATTCTGTTTTTCAGTAAGACCAATCCCAACAGAACCCACCCTGATACATTGATGAACCCAGTTCACTTTAATGTTACAAAGTCTCATTTCTGTGTTGCTTTTTCATTTGCCTCAACTGCACTACTAATACTACAGTCTCCTGCTGGAATGCATTTTTGTTTAAGCTTTATAGAAAGCATATTTACAGATTTGAAAGCCTAGAAGAGGCTACAACTTCTCCAAATTCAGAAATTAGAACAATTAGCTTGAGGATACACAGACACTCCTACTGAAGAATTAATGACTGATTGACAGTTCCCATTAGAGAGCAAAAAGCAAATTGCAGTCTGGGAACCAACTTGACTGAATACTGCTCTGGAAAATTAAAAAAAAAACCTAAAATGTACCAATATAACAACTGAAAAGTAGCAAGTCTACTGTCTGTAAAGCAAATAATCCACTGACTGGTATATTTTTATTGCATTTATCTAAAGTGCAAATTCCTTTGGATAAAAAAAATCAACTATCAAATACTTATCACAGGTTAAAACTTCCCTCAAATAACTGTCAAGTTTTTAGTTCTAGACATTAGCCCTCCTCCAAACCAAACTACATTTCCTTAAAAATTGATTTAAAATACTGACTGCTGTTCTTTAGGTTGAATGTCTCAGTTGACTATGGAGTCAGCAACATAGTGCTGTAGAAAAGGCTTGTGTTTAAAATTAGGAACAAGAAAGCAAACAAGATCTCACATGATACTTCTAGATACCTCAGATCACATGAGGCATAAACAGTTAAATCACTGCTGACATCCAGCCAGCTGACCACACAAACACACACTCCTCAATTAGCAGTCAGCAGGAATTCAGACAAACCTCTTTTGCATGTAAATCAATTATTAACACACTTCATTTAGGCATCTTTCTAGAAAACTTTAGCCAAGTACCTAACAAATTGTTTGCAGAAGGTATCAGAACATTGATATAGTAATTGTGTTGAGTCAGCTCTAAAAGGTAAAGAGTTCAGTGAATCCACTGCTGATCTTATAAGGACAGGTTATCAGCCCCCAAAATTGATAAGGCATAAGATAGGCCATCTACCATCACTGCATACTATGTGAGAAAACGAGGTGAGAACAGCCACAGAATACAGAAATTTCTTATTAGAAGACAAGTGGGTTAACTATATAACTGAACTGATAAGAAGAGTACAAGATTAATTCTAATAGTGTGTAAACATGAAGCAGGTCTCTCAAAGAACTTGTACAGTGATTGGTGCTTTTTTGGTGGTTTTTTTTTTTTGTTTCGAGATCGATACTGTCAATAGAGCAAGGTGTTAGGTAGGTTATCTTGTTTCTTTCTGATTTCCCAGTATGAACACATTGTCCTGGAAGAATACAAAGTCAGAGAAAGCATGAAAACAATTCAGTATTTTAAGTAGCCCTGCCTTCCCTAAAAAACCTGAGGAAAGGACTCTAAGACTATCAGCTTAAGTTTTAGTCCTGAATACAAAGCTTTTTGGCAAGACTCCGGAAGTAAGGTTTTGACTTTTATCGTGTTTATTCTCTATTCCACTACCATGTGAATAACCTTTGATGCTTTATTTAAATCTCAGAGAAAGTGAATAATTGCCTAAGAGTATTTTGCTTTCTACTTATATCATTTTGGTCCCCGTTCTTCCTACCTTTATATGTACAAGCATGCTCTGCAGACATTAGCTCCTGCTACTTAGGCACCATTTGATGGTGCACAGAACAGCATTTCCCAAAGCAAACAGCATTGCTGCTGTCCACATGCCTCCACATGTGCCAGCTCCTTTTCCATTAAGGCAATTCAACTGCAGAATTGCTCACTTCTTCCTCAGCAGGTTAGTTTTCTAGTGCTGTAGCAGACAGATGACTCTACAAAATGACCACTAACTTCGCACAACAAAAGTAGGGAGAGCACTGATGAGATATTAGCTTGGCTTAGCTATTTTACAGAAGCTCACTTCAGCTAGTTAGACAGCTCTATATAACTGAGACCTGTTGGCAATTCAGAAACTAATATCTTAGAAGCTACAGCCAATTATTACAGAGTTATATTCAAGCAGCTTATCTGCTTTTGGATTAGAGAGGCTCATAGATGCTAGGTATTTGTTTTTTGTTTTTTTATATTGCCTAGAGAGCAAAACACTACCCATATAATAAGTGCCCCATACTTACAAGTTGTGGCTCTACTTCCTTCTCCATTACTTGAGTAAGCACAGGTTGCAGCTGCACATAGGGTCATTACAGGAAAATGTTGAGAACAAGTTACACTGGGTCTTATGACCATCACTGGTCTAAAATATTTATGAAACAATCATTATGTTAACAACATTCCTTTAAAAAGCATTCCTTCCTTCTTTTAGTCCATAAGATCAGATGGCTAACTTGCCACAGAGTACAGTAAGATCTCAATTCCTTTTTTTGAATAAAGGAGTTCAAAACATCTGAGCAGACCAAGAGGGAATACTCAGATCATGAGACCACATTTACTACAAATCATGCGTAAAACTGAAGGCATACGAAGAGCTGAGAGTCTAGATGCCAGTCTGATAAATTGAGAGGATCAACTCCACATGCCCACCTCACAGAGACTCCAGAAACACCTCAGGCCTGTACTGCCCACATAATGCAGCCTGAAGGTACCTCAGCCTCCTCTGCATCTGGTACCCTAGTGCAGTGTGTGTTTTTCACCCCTCTCCCAAACACCTCTGTTAAGCCAGCACTTAGAATGCCTTCCTAAAAAATGATTTCTCTTAAACCTTTCTACCATCCTCATCACAGTAATTCCTAAAAAGCTTATCTCAACATAACATGTCACAGACACGGGAAAGGTGAAGAAAAGGTCATGAAAAGCAAACTAGAATCAAGATGGAAACATGACCGACAGTCACTCCTTCTCCTCCTTTATTTGCTTGACCTTCACTTGCCATGTCATGTCCAATTGAAGCTAAGCTCCTGGTGCAGATGTTTTTTTGTTTGTTTTTACAAAGACATTAATTTATACGCATCAAAAACTTCATGGCATTTTGCAATAACAAGTTATAGCAGGTCAATACCTAAGAGTGCCTACCCTCCCAAACACACAGAGAAGCCTGAAAAATGACACTGTTTGGAAACATTGAATCTTCACTTTCTGGACAGGCCAGGACCAGACAGCAGAGCAGAGCATATTTTAAGACACAGAGGAGTAGAAAATGCAAGTTATATACTGTGTGATAAGAACTCAACTCTTAAGAGCAAGAAAATCTGTTTTCTTTTAATTCACTCACTCACTGATGTATCTGTACTCAGCCACACAGCTTTAACCAGAATTTCTCTTATGAATACGTAGATCAGTCACTGCTTTTAAACCCAATCTTAAGTAATGTGTAAGCCTACAATTCATCCATCAGTAGTAAATTCATGCTGCTATATTCAGTATCCCCTTATCCCAATTGCTTCTAAATCTTCTTTGATCCCTTCATAGCTAGAGCTGAATATTGGATCAGCAACAAAAACACTCTCACCTCTGTCAGGAAGAAGCTTGCCACTAAAGTAAGCACCAGGGCTTATTGCTAAAGCCAGCATTGCGCAGCAGAGAGATGGGATAAAAGATTGCTTCCAGCCTTCAGGGACAGCACTCAGAACTTCTGCTCACATTTCAATTCCTGCCTCCTAGGAAATCCTCTCCTGATTTCTTCTTTCGAATCTACTTCTCTCAGCTAGCTCAGCCATCTATTACAGCTGTGAGCTCACACACAGCACACTTGGCACACACACACAGAGTGCCTTTTAAAGAATTCTTGGTCAGCAGTTAGTCTTCCCTGACAGAAGTTTGTAGCAGCAGTAAGAGTCAACAACAGAATCTAAACTACTGTATACAAACAGAGCTTAATGTTAACAGCATTCTTAATGTTTTCTTATTTTCTTACTGTTTTTCCCCTCTATTATCGCTGTTATTCATGCAGTGAGAGCACAGAGCATACAGAACATGGCTACTGACCATCAGTGCCACCAAATGCACCTGCCCAGTACGTGGGATTGCTTGGGGACTACAGCTTCAGCAGACAAGTCGTTCAAACAATTAAGATTTATTTATGACGCTCATCAATGGACACAGAGAGCAGCTGACATTTAACTCCGTGGGACCTATCAGACACGTAGGCGCTGCGTATTTGCTGTGAGCTACCGTGTGTTCCCGGGCGGCAGCACAGGCCGGTAACACTCGTTGCCTGCGCAGCACGCTGAGCCAAGCCCGTTGTTTTCAGCCGCTCGCAGTGAGCGCGGTGACACGCAGCCGCCGCTCCCCACGGACCCCCACGGAGCGGTGCGCCCCAGGACCGGGGCAGCCGGCGCCTCCCGAGCCCGCCGCGCCCCGCGGCGCAAACGCGGGCACGGCACGACTCAGCTCCTCTCCCGCCCCGTGCCGCCCCCCGCCCGGCTCTTACCCAGCACCACGGGCGGCCCCGCGGGCCGGCGGCGTGGCACGCACCCACCGCCGGAGCAGAGCAGCAGCAGCAGCAGGATGCCGAGGAGGGGGCTCCTTCCCGGGCGCGGGAGAAGCCTAGCGCCGGCCGGCGGCACCATCGCCCCCAGCGCATAACCACGCGGCCGCCTCTGCTCCCCTCCCGTCGCTCCGCCGGGGCCGCCGCCGGAGTGCGGCCCCGCCGCCCGGCCCGGCCTGAAAAGGGCTCGCCCCGCCCCGGCCGCAGCCGGCCCCGCCCCGCAGGCGTTACCAGCCGAGCGCAGAGCCGAGCGGGGATCGTCGAGCTGAGCTGCCGCTCCTTCGGCTCCGCTGGTAGCGAGGTGCGGCTCCGCGGCAGCCCCTCGGTTCCGGACCGCGAGATGCCAGGTGCTGCGGGCCGGTGGGTTCGCCTCACGCCGCTGCGTGCGCACTTGTGCGGTCGTGGTGGGTCCTGGAGGTGAAGTGAGGGGCGTTTCGTGTCAGACTTGTGCATAAACTTAGCGCAGAGGTGTGGTCTGCGTGGCTTGAGCAAAAGCAAATAAACCTTAGGATAGCTGCAGCTTTTCTCGTTGCAAAGACGCGGGATGAGTGCCGGTATAAAAGCAATGCAGTGCTTCAGGCGACGCCTGGCTAATGCAGCGGCTAATTGGTTCACTGTATCGTTGAGGCCAGAAATTTGGCAACACTCAGAAAAAATCATTAGACCTTCACACGTATAACAAGAACAGGTGGATTTGTAATTGCAGGGTTTTAAAGCCAGAAGGATGTAAGCCTTTGTGCTTGGTCAACAGCAGTTAGTGGAAGCTGCCCATTCAGAGTGAGGTGCGTGTTCGTTACCGGTGGATTGTGGAGAGGAGCAAGGGTTCCCATAGAAGCAGAAACTGAGCAGAGTGAAGAAAAATGGTGCTCAGAATCACTGTGACCACAACTCATAGCCAGTTGTGATCCTGGGAATGAACAAGATGAAGCTTTCTTGCTTCCCTCACACATCCACTCCACATTCTGAGCCAGGTGTTACTGCTTTGTGCTCGGGGAAAAGCTGCTGGGGTCTTTTTGCAAAAAGGGCACTACAGTCTGTATTCCTCAGTGTGATGCTAAATTGCAGAAATATGCCTGCCTTGAATGGTTTACGTATTGATGTGAACAGTATCTCAAACCAAGAAATCAGTGGGAGATATCAGAAACCTGTAGATGTAGAATGTAGAAATGCAATATAGAAAACTACTTTTCATTGGCTTGTGTAATTCAACCAGCTACATGCATTGTAAGGTAGAAAAAATGAAGCTATTCTTGCCTCATTGAACCAGCATTCAGTGTTTGTAGCTGCTGCAAAAAGAGGCATCAAAAAGATGCACATGAAAAACAGACACATAGCTTATTGACTGGAATTGAGAAAAGTGGGGTGAGGTTGGGGATGGTGTGGCATTAACATGGAATGAGGACAACACATTTTTCCTCCTGAAATAAGACAGAGGAAGAAAATGCAACGAATCACTCAAGGAAGCTAAGGCCAAGTCTAAATCTAGGATCGTGTTTTTCCTGGCAGCTGCCACACCTGTTATATTTGTGCTAAGGGAAGAGATGACAACATCCAATACAAGCAGAGGCCTTGGTTTGTCCCAGAGACAGGTGCTTAGTCACCACACAAGTGCTGACTTGAAATGACCTCCTACTAAAACAAACTACAGGGTGTGTAAGTATTACAGACTGTAAAACTGGTTGCAACACTGATCCTGATGTAGGAATTAAATGTTACAAAATGCAGTGCAAGACCTTATGGAAAGGCAGAGCAGTGTTTAAAGAAAGCTGATTTCAATCACTTGGTCCTTCTGTCCTTCTCTCATATTGTTATGTTCAGTCCAAAGCACCAAAATGCACATGTCTAAGTAGTCAGGCCAAGGTCACTTGTGTTGTGAGGTTCAAATAATGCCACCTGTCAAATCCTCTCTCACCCCTCCTGGCTTCCCTTGGGTAGAAGCAAAGGCAGTTTTTGAACAGATTTGCCGTGCGCTTTAGAAATGCAGATATTTTGGTGTGCTTTTGTTTTTTTATTTGTTTTTTTTTTTTAGTTTTTTATTTCAACCTCTAAGTGTTGAGCAAGCTCACTGCCTGTTGTATTTCTGACTTATTGTCACCTTGTTGCCATCATCCTATTGTCAGAGGATAGCTTTTCTGCTGGTAAATCATTTCTGCTGTAAGCCTCTGAGAGCACAGGCCTTTTGATTTTTACTATGAGAGTGGTGAGGTTCTGGAACAGGATGTGGATGCCCCGTCCCTGGAGGTGCTCAAAGGCAGGTTGGATGGGGCCCTGGGCAGCCTGGTCTGGTATTAAATGTTGGTGGCCCTGCCTATGGCAGGGGTGTTGGAGCTTCATGATCCTTGAGGTCTCTTCCAACCTGGGCCATTCTGTGATTCTCTGATGTTGATCTGAACACCTCGTTTCTCAGTGTTTACCGGTGTGTTATTATTTATGTCCTTGATGTGTCCTATCAGATGTGTCATGTTTGTAACCTTTATTTTAGTAATTCAGTACAGATATTTTTGTTCTCAATTCAGACAAGTCTTGATATTTCTGTTATGAATCCCTGCAATCTTCTAACAGTTGGGAGTGTCCTCATCTTTTCCTCTTATTTTTCTCCAGGAAAAGCCTCCTAAGCACATAATTGCTATTCCTTCTGTGCAAGCCCTGGTTTTTTAGATAACAGTCTCTCAGTTGATGAATCAAGTACTGTTACAATTGCTGCTTTTTTGTTGCTTCCTTTTGGGAGATCTGTACTATTAACATTGGAAAGCAAAGCAAACAAAGCTCCTTGTCTTTATAAGGTTGTTTTAAATACTAACAGCAAGTTTCTGTTTTCACACTGAATGCCTGGTTCCTTTGACATTAAGAAATAGGAAGAACCAAGACAATCTACAAAGCCCCTTAACTTTTCTTTCCAGTTAGGTGATGCTCTGCAAATAAGTCGACACAGTGTATTTCTGAGTAGTGTGTTCCTAGAAGAGCAGTTCTCCTCTGTCTCTACAAAAAATGACTTGACGTTTACAGAGTAACAATTCAGGACCATGATCATGTACACTCATACAACAGAATTCTACTTGTCATAATTCAAGGAAATGTAATAAATATCAGAACCAACTACAAGTCTGAACTGACAGTGAAGTGCCAGCAAGCTTATTTTTGGAAAATGTATACTATACACTGCTTCCTTCATGTGCTTCATATTAAAAACTGGACATGAAAAAGGAAGTCATTAGAATTGAAACTGTTTGTGAAAGCAGTAATACACCTTTATCACCTTTATATGAGAAAAAATACATATTCCGAAGACCACTTTTTTTTTTTTTTAATCACCATAGAGAATTCTTTTTGATGTGTATAATCAGTATTAAAAATATTCTTTACTTCTTTCCAAACAAATAGCAGAATTAAACTAAATTAAGCACCAAAAATGAGAATATCAGCACTATTATCTTTGTTAAGATTCTTTGAGGACTTAGACTGGCAGCTTGACAAAAATGGTGAACTGAATATGAGTTTGCAGACTAGTCATTTAAAATAAACGATCCTTTCCAGAAACGTAGTATTTACTTAAACACCTTTTATTTGACTGAACAGAATTCCCTGTTTGCCTCTGATCCTTAGCATTTAAGTAGTGTTTGTATTGGCTCAGATATCCCCAAGCATGATTGCACTGTGCTAGACACACTACTGGAAAAGCAGCTTTATCCCAAAGATGCATGTTCATATCAAATAAGGATAATGCACAGTAGGAGAAGGAATACACAAAATAAATGATTAACATAATAAGAAACTTCATTATAAACTGTCTACAACTGAGGTGATTTTAAAAGAAAGATGTAAAGGTGACCAAGACACTGGTCCAGGTCTACCCTGTAGAGACCCATGTCAGTGCTTTCTCCATTATTACTGTGTTTCATTGAGAAATTTATCAAGTTCAGAATATGTTCACAAAATCCTCACCGTTCAGGTCTTTCAGAAACATGCTATTTTAACTTCTACTGCCTCACAAGATTTTACCAGCCACCCTAGTTTTTGCATTTGAATTTGCAGCAGTAAAAATTATCCTGGGATGCAGTCTCACCTTAATGGAAATGAGAGTAGTAGAATATGAAAGTATCAAGAGTCTCAAGAAGGAAGATAAAAGATTTAATTATATGCCTATTATCACCTTTACAAAAAGCAATACTTTGGTGTGCTGCAGTGGTTTGCTTTAGTCATCTTCCTCGTTGCTGAATGTACAGAAAACATCTGTTGCTCATCTCATTTTTTCCTGCAGACGTTGCTGTAACATCCCTTCCTGAATTCCCCCAAATGTTCTTTGGAAGATACTGTAATAGGATCTGTGATGTCTCTTTTCCCATACACAGCTAAACATCGTAGACTAGCTCAGGTGTTCTGCTTTCTAAATAAGTTATATTCATTCTCACAAGTTTGAACTCATGCCTGAGTCCAGGAAGGAATCAAGGTCGCTAGGGAGAAGTCAGGCCTGTAACCCATGCAGCCTATGAACCAAACATATACACTGGTATAAGGGACTTAGGAAGATTGAAGTGGTACATTTTATTAATTTTTGCCAGAAGTATTCAGATTCCATCAGGTTCACTTTCAGAACACCACACATGTCCACTTTCAAACATCATTAGAAAATAAAGGTTTTCTTAAGTAGGTTGCCAAGTTTTTTCCCCTAGTAATTCTGTCTGTAATACAAAGATTTCTAGAGCTTCTTGGCACAACAGATTTACCCTCCTACATTGTTCTGCATTGGTAGGAATCCTGAGCGTTGTTTAAACATGACTTTAGTTTGAAAAAGAAGCACAAAAATTGCATTACACAACACTGATATGCTCTTTCTTCACTATCTATGAAGCAAGATAATTGTCTTTTTCTTGAAACAAATATCAGGCCTTAAAACTCAGCTCAGGAAGCTTACTCCCTCCTTCTCAAGAATAGTTTGAGGTTCAGTTGAAGACAGTCATACTGGGACAATGTATTCTGGTTGCAGTGCAGGTTTGGCCAACCTGTAACAACACTTAGATGTTGCAGATGACCTCAGTGGGGGACAGTCATAAACATGTATTTTCTCAAGAGCTTATAGAATGCACTGTAGAAGGCTGCTACTGTGGTTTTCAATTTGCTATTAAATAACTATTATATACACACTACACATCTGTGCTAG